TTTGTCTGTTGCACCAGAGACTATACAAATAGCTAATTGAAGATATTCTTGAAGGGAGAAAAGATCGAACACAAAGATAAATACAACTACATGTGTATGACATAATACGTGTTTCTTGATTCATCTATAAAAGAGCTCATCATTACTTGCCAAATAAGATTGAAAATCTCAATTGCTTTACTGAAATTCCTAAAAAGAACCTCATTTAGATCTAACTTATTTTCTGGCTTCATACAGATGTTGGGTCAGTTGCTTCTACCATCACGTATGCCTTCTACTTGAATGAGACACATAAATATGATGAGTATTGCACTGTACCTGTTATCAACATGAAGAGAGCGGATCTAAACTCTCATCCCGAACTTAAATGGCTCCTTGATTCTTGTCAGATTGATTGGTCATCTTTGATTTTTGTGGATGAGGTTCAATCCTTTGCAAACTTTTTGAAAATTCTTTGATTTTCATTTATTTTAATGTTTTTTTATTCATGTTACTCTACGATGAAGGATATATTGGTTGTTTCATATAAAGTTGATACTTCAAAAAAGGGCCAAGTTATAGTTCTTGCCCCTTTAACTATTACATTAATTTTTGAACAAAAAAAAAAAAAGAAAGGAAAAAAGAACTATTGCATGAATTTTCAATTTTGCCCCTAAAATCTAAACTGTTCCGATATATCCTTCAACTTTTAAATTATTTCAAAATTATCCTTTAAATTTATGTCGTTAAAGCCTTGATAAGCATGAAATGAGATCCTTGTATATGTTTCAGTTTTGTACTTAAAATATCTTAAATTTACCCGTATGATTTTCATTTTGGTCCTTAAAACTTTATACTTAATGAAGTTACAATAAAGGATGATTGTAGAAACAATTTCAAAGGGTTATTTGTCAAATTTGACTTTTAAATCCAAAAATGTTTTCTATTTCTGAAAATAAAAATGTTAAATTGATATACTACATTTCATTCAAAGGTAATGTGCTTCTATTAGGATAGAAGTAGGAATATTATTAGGATATCAAGAGCGTACTAGTAATTTAGGCAGTTTGTTATTAGGAGCTGATTATAAATAGAGTGGGGAAAAGGAAAGAAGGGAGGCAATTGATTTAGTTGGTTTAGATTTGAGTAAGATTACTCAAGAGAGGGGAGGGTCAAAGTACCTCGAATTACTTGGGGTTATACGGTAAGTTCTTCTATCTTTTATATATCAATATATTTATAGTTATTCGGATTCTATCAAATAACTTTTATAAAATTTGCATTAGAAATTATTTTCGCTTTGGAATGAATGATTTGGTGATACGAGTTTCAGTGAATTATTTTCTCGTCTTTTCTTGTCTTTTTTTCTTTATTTTTTTTCTAATGAGGAACGCTAGATTCAGTTAATGTTTACCCTTCGAACCTTTAAATAACATAATTTAAGCCCTATGGCCATCCGATAATGGTTTAAGTGAATAGGCTTGTGCTGTGCGTAAGTATGAAAGAGGTCAAAACCCAGTGGTAAAAGAATATGCACGTGCTACCCCTTCATGTTACAATTCTGTTCTCAGAGCTTCTGTTCAGAAGTGTATCTCCTTTTAATATTGATACTAAACATTTTCCCAGATCGACCTATCATATTATGAATTATTTGGAAGTCTTAAGATAGTTCTACTAAACAGATCCAAGCTTCCTGCTAAACAAGAGGTAATCCCGAGCTGACAACGGTTTAGAAAACATTGTTTCTGAAAAATCTGGTCTTTCTTTAGCACTACTTATGAAATGTCCATTTCTGTTTTCTCATACTACAGCAGGCATTAAAAGAGGCAGTTGTTGAAATCTTTAACTGCAGTAAGGTGCATATAATCATCTTTTTCGGCTATAAAGGAATTTAGCTACTTCCAAACATATTAAGATGAAAGACTAACCATTCATGTTTTCCTTTTTGTTTTTCAGGATGAATCCATATACCCTTGGGTTGAGAACATTACAATCCAACAGGTTTGAAATCTGTATTAATTTATGCGGTTTCATCCCTTTTTTATTTTTACCCAAAGTTATCAAGTCCATCAAATGGAAGATATGTTCAGACATGTCATACACATTGAGAAAACTAGAGAGAAGAAAAAGAATATATATGTGTGTGTGTATATATGTTTGAAGAAAAATGGATACATGAATGCGTATCACGTACAGAAAGGTAATAAGACAAGTGAATTAGTGTTATGAGAGAGAGAAATACTAAAAAGTTTAGCGAAGTGAGAGATTGGAAGGATGTTAGTGAGGGAGACAAAATAGGCTTCTTTTTGTTCCTTTTCCCCTCTTGGCTTAGGATTCTTCCTGATTGAAAAATAAAAATATGTATATCTAAAGATTTTAAATTTAATCTACTTTTGGTGTTCATACACTTGTTTAGATCAAGATAACATGTCAGCTCAATTTCATTCATGCCCTATAGTTTCTTATGTCCATATCCACCTTTGTCTTCACGGGCGTGTACTTGTAACTTAGTTTATGAAGATAAAGAAAAGAGAGACAATAATATATAATTAATAGTTGTAATTAAGAAAGAAAGTATGTTTAAGTTTCAATTGATTTCATTATGATTATGGCATACATCATTTTAGACAAGAAAATATTTCATTGCAAACATGAAATATACGAAATGGGGGAGGAGAACCTCAGCTCCAGGAGAAGATAAGATGCTATACACTTGGATAAGAATTGTGTTGTTACTATTAAACATGCTTACCGTTAGAAATAGTTTTGAAATCTTATATAAATATATGTAATAAATTATCAAGTAATTTTTATGCATAAAATATTTTTGCTCAATTCTTTTGAAGCTCTAAGCAAATTTTCCCTATCTAATTTTTTTCTCTTTTCTAGCCTTCCTKAAAATATAATATAATAAGATTCCATTGTACTATTTATTAACTCAAGTCGTATGTTATATAGTATAATTTTAACTTCAATATTACCCTTTTGGAGTTGCCATTCTGTTTTATGTCAACTTTTGATCTCTTTATATATACTTCTAAATAAAAACAAAGATGTGTTGTGAACCTAAAGATGTTCTTTAATTATATGAACAATTGGCCCCTGCAAATAAAATCTTTTTGGGCCTGTCCCTGTTCCCAATTGGTAATTTTGCTGTCTAATTTGCATCTCCTTTGTCACCCATCTTCCTTACCCTTGTGTTAGGTGAAGTGGTGAACTTGAAAAACCCAGTCGAAAGTTTTCTACTATACCTGCTTCAACATCAAGCCCTTTAGGATAACCCATCTCTTTTTCCAGTAATAAATAATTTTATTAAACATATGAAACTAGAAAAATTCAATGGTCAAGATTAATACTGGAAATTCAATGATCATAACCATATTTAATGGTCCAATCCATAAAGATTTTATTCAAATGCAAGGGAGGAAGTTGAGTATATTACCAACTTCCAACAATAGGAAATATGACTTGATGCTTTTAGGAGGAATTTCATGAGGTGTTTTGCTTTCATATGCATTAGAATTCGTCAGTTTATAGATATAAGATAATTTCTATTTGATACACTTTCTTCTCAAGAAAAAAGAAGTGCTCAAATCTCCTTAATTGTCTGAGTGCGATTTATGCCCTGTGCAAACTGGCCAAGTACATAGTCCTCTGACATTATGGTTTCCTGTACATCTTAGTCTGAGGCTATTTTATTTTGTAAAACAGGACTGTTCATGCTGTACTCTAATTGCTGAGAAGTTTTCTCTAGTTTCACCTGAGATTTTGGCTGGGAAGCGATTCAGTAGACTTTTGGTACTTATTACTTGTAACAATTACTTTTGTCTTCATGCATGCATTTGTACTTCGAATTTCTGGATGGAAAATTTGTGGAAGTCTGATTTCTTCAATGTGCAATAGGAGGCCCCATCCCCATCAGCATAATGAGGGATTACACAAGAGAGATACCAATACAAAGCCTTGAGCCCTTAACTAGTTCGGCATTCATTTTACACGTACTTCAACTTTTAAATATTCATCTATCCTATATCTCTGCTATTATGGAATGTTTAATTGCTAATCCAAGCTTAACTTAGTGGATTAGATTCCAATTACCTTAATAGAGGCTTAAGGTTGAATCTTCCACCCTACCTTTGTTCTACCCAGAAGAAAAATATGTTTTATTTCCATTTATTAAACAAGAATGAGAGAGTGAAAATCATGCTCACTTATTCTTTTTATCATTGTTTACTGGTAATTACGGAGTGGAATAATTCCCAAGTTGTTGGCCCCACACCAAAATTTATAATCATTCGTATTGATTCATTCCTCTTGGGAAGGAAAGCAATATCCTTTCCATTCCCATTTTAGCGAGTCCCATCACCCTGCTCTCTCTCTCTCTCTCTCTCTCTCTCTCTCTCTCTCTCTCCGTGGGTCTCACATCAATTGAATCCCTCCAATCTAATTCCAATTCCAAATT